CTGTTTAAAGACTAAGGTGTTTCATATCTAAGCCATGATATTTTAAATTGCTTCATAAGCATCTGAAAGTTGAGTAATGAATAAGGATGACAGGAGAAAACTGATGCCTTTGAATGTTGGTGTTGTAGAAGGTTACTGAATTTTTGATGGACTTCCAAAAGAACAAGCAAATGTGTCCTGAGCAACCAGAGTGCTCTTTACAGAAAACGTGGTGAAACTATCTCACTTTGGACATGTTTTCAGGAGGAAGCAAACCTTAGAGATACAGCATGCTTGGAAAAGTAACAGGTCAGTGAAAGAGGAAGATCCTCCCCAGGGTAAATTGACACACGGGGCTTGAACATGACTGAGATTATGAGGATGGCACAATTTAGGGCAAGTTTCAGATTTGTGGGATTATTATGAGTTGGCATCTAACAAGTTGTTGTTGAATGACTTTTAGTCAACCATGACTCATAGCAACCCTATGAACAAAAGGCCTGAAGCCCCTCTACAACTATCGATATTTATCAGAGTTCATAGAGTTTCCAGAAGCATGCTATTTAGGAAGTGGATGCTGCTCCTGCTTCCAAAACAAGAGCCATGTAATAATCAAATTATACATACTTAAATATATAATTTGGTTGTTACAATTCTTAAAATAAAATTTCTTATAAGGCAATGTTATAATATTGTTGAAATTACATTTCATTTGCTTTAATAATCCACAGATTTTCATTTTGCGCAAGGACACAGGCTAGAGCTTTGAGGTCAGCCACTTCTTGGTTTCATGTTTGACTCTGACACCTACTCAGGACAAATCATGTGATAATGAGCCTTGGATTCCTTATTTACAGTACCTTTCTCTGAGGGCCATTGTGAAGATTATGTGAATTTTATATAAAGAACAATTCGTTTTACTACTTCCTTCCATTCTCTAAGTTGCCAGACCTAAAACAGCCATAAATACACGGAATGTCATAGGCTCATGGCTCTTCCCACATGTTAACCCTGTCCTGAGGACATGACAGGACACTTTCTTCTCTTCATTCAAACTAAAAAACTTTAAGTCATTGAAGTTAAGTCACCAGTTCACTAGTGGAGCCATGTAACTTTTCCTCATGAGCCTGGAGACCACATGAACCATGACTCTGAATACCTGAGCCCATGCTCAACTTGCTGCTCCTTCTCCTGCAAGCTGTGAAACTTTGGGGTGGGACTCAACTTCTCTGAAGAATGTAGAGAATTGTGGTAACCCTCATGATGTTGCAGTGAGTATTCAGTGAGCCAGTGTATATGTAACACATGGAGTTGTGTTTGATCTGACACAGTGAATTCTCTAAACGGAATAAGAAAAAAATGATGTCAGCAAGAGAGCAAGAAAATAATATCAATGTGTTTTTTTTTCCTCTCACATGAAACGTTGATATTATAAGACCTATAGAAACTGATTCCTTTAATCAGGTGCTAAACAGAGCTTACAGTTTCTAAGATGTGTTGAAAAGACTTGTAGTATTATTTGTTAAAATAGACTTTTATTTTAAAAAAATCTTAAAAGTTCTTTTTAAAATGGAGCAGTAGAAAACCTTTACCTCATGCTCACTTCGGCAGCACATATACTAAAAATTGGAACGATACAGAGAAGATTAGCATGGCCCCTGCACAGGGATGACATGCAAATTCGTGAAGCATTCCATAAAAAAAAAAACACAAAAAAAACCCTTTACCTCAAAATTCTCTTAAAAGGTGAATGCAGACAAGAGTTTTGGAGCTACACAGGTCAACGTTCAAATTTCAGCTTCCCCACTTTGTGGTTCTGTGACCCTGAGTCATGGAATTTCCTGAAACTCCATTTTCTCATACATAAAATAAGAATCATACCACCTACCCCAGGTGATGGGTGAATTAAGTGAGCTATATGTGTACAGTAACTCAACTCTCTAGTTTTCAGGTTTACTTGTACCAAGGATTGACTTAATTTTCAGAGCAGGCTGTGCCTAATGGCACCGCAGAGTTTTGTCAGAAGCTCCTACAAATTGAAGATCATAAGCAGTGGATACCATGAATGGACTCTGGAGTCAGATTAGAGCCGATGTTCTGCTGTGGCTCTAAGAGGGGAAAAGGGAAAAGTATATGTATGTCACACACACACACACACACACACACACACACACACACTATATTGAGGCTGAATTGAATGGACTCATAGCTCACCCTCCACTGGATTTTCAGAGGCAGTAAGTTACATGAGAACAGACTGCCCATCTTTCTCCCTTGGAGCTGCAGGTGAACTCAAATCACATGCCTTAAAGTTAGCAGTGTAACTCCTTATCGCTAAGCTATCAGAGCTCCCTAAAAATACATATACATTATATATACATGCATGTATAAATAATTTGGTTCTCCAATTCAACCATTCACACATATTTTGTTTTATAAAATTAATTCTAATATTCACAATGTAACCACACTCTTCTCATTTTCTACCGTGTTACTCCAGGAGGGTTCCAACCTTACACTTCAGTCAAAATTATCTGCAGAAAAATCATCCCATACACCAATACTTGGCATTAATGGCTCAGAATTAATGCTCAGATACACAAACTGAAATTGCTGCCTCAGTTCTAAAATATGAAACAGAAGGAGTTAAGCATCTGGGAATAACTGTGACAGACATAGTTTTTATGAGCTTGTTTTGGCCAAATGACTGTGAAAGTCTCATTTGCCTTATTAGCTCTAACCTTTGGATAGGAGTATGACTAAGTTTCATCATCTGTTTTTCATATTCTCAGATATTTAGAAAGGCAGAGCAAGAAGGAAAAGGAAGTCGACAATTATAGCAACAAAGAAGGATAGCGTGAAATACAATGTATATGAACTTTGTAAGCAAATCAGTATAAAATAAAAATTTTTTTAAAGAATAAATTTTCTATTACAAATACAAGTTAATATTAAATAACTAATAAGGGAGCTCTGGTAGCTTAGTGATAAGGAATTGTGCTGCCAACAGAAAGGTGCACGGATCAAATACAGCAGCTCTGTGAAAGAACGATGGGCAATCTGCATGAGATTATGGCCTCTGAAGAGTCTACGAATTGTGCTACCCTATGATTTTCCTTCTGTTCATCCTTACCCCTCTGCGCCCCCTCCCCCGCTTGGATCTTCATACACAGTTAACTAGTTATCTTTCTATTTCTACAACAATGGTCTTATGCAGTACTTGTCCTTATGAGACTGAGTTCGTTCACTCAGCATAATACTCTCCAGTCCCTCTCAAATTAGGTAGTGATTTTCAAAATTGTTGGTTTTGACTCCGTGGTATAAAACAGCAACATTAATTTATTAAGAATATAAAAACAGTTTTTCTCAATAATACAGTGAGAAATTAGTAGTTGTTGCTAAAAGCTTTGTCTAGGTTATTTTATTCACTGGAAGTGGAAAGTGGAACATAATCATTTGCTCCATCTGTGTTTTGGTTTTGTACTGGAAAAGTAGGGAGCTATTGTGGCAAAGATGTAGGGAGTTTGCCACTCACCTAAAGGTGGCCAATTTGAATCTGTTAGCAGTTCTGCAGGAAAAAGATAGTCTCCTCCAGCCTCCAAAAACCCACTGGAGTAGCTCAGTGGTTAGGGGGCTGCCTCCTGGAAAGGGACCATATTTTCCACTTCATCTGTTGATGCAGTATTTTCGCGACAGACCACTCAACTTGTGACCTCTGGGGCATGTTTTGTGCTCTAGAAACCGGATTTTAGGTGATGAAATAGTGGGACAAAACTAGACTGAAACCTCAGAAAGAATTGTTAGCGATTACTAACAAAAAGAACTGTAACAGATCTACAGAAATTGCTGGTAGAAACAGATCTCTAGGTTTTATTTTAAGATATTTCTGGATAAATTTAAGCAACAAACTTTTTCAGTGAGCAGCCAAACTCATAATTATTTTTATTATGCAAGGATTCCTTATAAGCATTCAAAAACCAACAATTCATCTCCATTATACTGGTTCCTACTTAAAATACATCAGGTTTCTAAGGTTGTAAATCATAGTAGGAGGAGACTCTTGTGGAGTGAGGATTCAAACCACTGGAGACTGGGGTGAGTTGTTTTGATTTGCATCTCTCTTAGAGCTAGGGATTTTGAACATTTCTTTATGTGTTTATTGGCCATCTGAATACCCTCTTTGGTGAAGTGTCTGTTCATATCCTGTGCCCATATTGGATTGGGTTATTTACTTTTATCTTGTTGTGGTGCTCGAGTATTTTATAAATTCTAGATGTAAGTTCCTTATCAGACATATCATTACCAAATATTCTTTCCCAGTCTGTAGGGGTTTTTTTTGTTTGTTTGTTGTTGTTGTTTTTACCTCAGTAAGAATAACAAACTTCAACAGAGCACCAAACAACAAATGCTGGCGAGGTTGTGGAGAAACTGGAACCCTTATTCACTGTTGGTGGGAGTGTAAAATGGTGCAGCCACTATGGAAAGCAATATGGGACTTTCTCAAAAAGTTGCAAATAGAAATACCATTTGACCCATTAATTCCATTACTGGGAATGTACCCTAAAAAAATCAGAACTACCACCCAAGCAGATATATGCACACCTATGTTTATTGCAGCATTGTTCATAGTAGCAGAGTTGAAAACAATCCAAGTGTCCATCAACAAACGAATGGAGAATATTATGCAGTACTGAAAACCAAGGAACTTATGAAATATTATACAAAATGGGTGACCTGGGAGGACATTACGTTGAGTGAAATATCTCAGTCATGAAAAGACAAATACTCCATAATGCCACTGTACAGGACTGACATCAGGGTTGGGGGGGGGAACTAAGAAAAGAGGGGATAAATAATGTACACTGCTTTGAAACAGATGAGGGGGAAAACTGCTTAAAAGGAATATATGATTAAATTGTGAAGGCTCTTTGCTGAATTTCTCCTGCCACACCCCTCAGCATTTTGCAATATGAAATGCGGTGTTGCTGCTAAATTATTACTGTTGTTGTTTCTCTTAACAGGCGCTTGAATAAAATTGTTTGGCAAGCACTATCTCAAGAGGAAAAAGAAAAGTAAGTTACTTCATCCCTCATTTTCTAAGACAGGGTTGGAATTGAGTTATGGGTATCAGACTGATGCTCATCTTTTCCTTGCCCAGCCACATGCCTGAGTCTTCTATTTTCCCCAAGGACTTCCAATAATCATGGTAGCAGCACAGCTAAATTAGGCATGGGGCCTGCCCTTGGGAAACTCCTGTCTTTAAGGACCAGTCTGTGTGAGGATATTGTTGTTGTTTTGTTGTCAAGTCTACTCCAGTTCAGTAGTCCTATGTGCAACAGAATGGAACACTCACAGTTGCTGTTGTTCTTGAGCCCATTGTTGTAAACATTGTGTTAATCTGTGTCATTAATAGTCTTCCTCTTTTCCCCCCTCTCTACCTTATCAAGCATGATTGTTTCTTTCTGTCTGCCTGCCCAAAGTTTGTGAGACTAAGTTTCACCTTCTTTGCTTCTAAGGAATATTTTGACTACACTTCTTCCAAGATAGATTTGATAATACAAGATCAAATGAGATGCAGAGTTCTGGGAATTGATGTTGGATAAAAAGGAAGGGAAGAGAGCACTGTCCTTCCACCTGGGTCAGGGCTGTGGTCAGGGAATTCAGGAGCAGACTGTTTCAGTGGATTATTCACCACCATCGCCTTTGCCTTCACTGCCTGACCGGCAGCTGACTGTGTGATATGTCACCTCCCCTTCATAATGTCCTCTAATTCTCCTGACACTATTGCATGAAGGCATTATTCCAATATTCGTGTGAAGGCGTTATTCCCACATTCTGCACTTGCAAGATACTGCAGATGCAATGTCAGTGCAAACACTAGCTAGAAAACACCTGCTGCTGTTGTTGTATATCACTGAGTCACTACTGACTCACAGCGGACCTTCCAGTGGGTTTTCAGAGGCAGTAAATAGAACAGGAGGAGATAAACCATCTTGATTCCATGAGGCAGCTGGTGAATCTGAACAGTATACCTTGTTTTGGAAGCACAACTTCTTATCACTAAGCCACTAGTAGCAATTTGTGTTGAAAGAAGCCCTTTGGGGGGTTCTGATGCTACTTAAGTGTGTGAATTATTTCTCCAAGGCCATCTGGCTGGGAAGTACTTATTTCTGCATTCCACCCCAGGCTGCCTTGCTCTAAAACGTGTATTCTTTTGCATTTCTGACACATAAAAGTCGTTTCTAACATCATTTCTAAAGCCCAAGATTTCATGAATGTATTTGCTTATGTATATCATATGATTATCTGATTCAAAGTGACCATAGCTAATCCATTGCATCTCACTAATGCCCAGTATGTCAATATTTATGCATTCCACTTCATTTTAAAAAATATCTAATTTTCCAACATTCATTCCAACTAGCTTCCAATCTGAGCTCTACTACTACACTACTATAACTATCCTCTTTGTTTAGTGTTCACAGGGTTCTAAAAAGCTTTTTATTTAGGAAGTAGATGGCCCATCCTCCTTCCTACTCTGTCTTAACCAGGGGCTCCACCAAAACCCATCCACAATGGGAAAACCTTTTGGAATTGGACACAACACTGGCAAAGATTTCAGTATCACAGCAACCCCAAGTAATTGCAGTACAGCAAACTGACAGAGAAGTACTGCACCACTTATAACAATGTTCTTTCTAAACACAATTGGCCCTTGGACCCAACCAAATTTTAAATACCAAGGCCCGCCCACAGGGCCATGGTCTTTCTGATTACTAGCTATGCATCTGAGATTTGGACACGAATAAGGATGGCACAAAAAGAATTGATGCCTTTGAGCTGTGGTGTTGGAGAAGAGCACTGAACATTCCATGGATGGCCCTCTTGGAGAGGGTACAGCCAGAGTGCTTATTGGAGGCAAGAATTATGAGGCCTCACATACTTGGACATATTGCTAGGAGGTGTTCTTCTTTGGAGAGAGACATGGTGTTGGGAAGGATAGAGGGTCGATGAAGGAGAGGAAGACCCTCAACCAGGTGTATTGACAAGGTGATTGCTGCAGTGGGCTCTTGTGCGTCAGGAAGTGTGAGGATGGCACAGGACAGGACTAGGTTTAGATCTTTTGTTCATAGGGCTGCTATGAATAATACTTGACTTGATGGCACCTAACAACACCAACAACATTTGTTTATTCTGCTGAGTCTCCACTCATTTCAGACATCCCTCTGCCTTTGCGTTGCCCTTGCCCTTCTACAGACAGGATCCTATGACTGTCACTTAGTGAATCTTCAATAACACTCCCATGCTCCTCTTTTTTTCTTTCTCAATACTACTTGTATATATCCTTTTTAATGTTGATCACAATTTACAATTATATATTTCCTACAATTATTTATTTCCTTGCTTATTGTATTCTCCCACTGAATTATAAACTATATAAAGCAGAGAGAGTTTCTGTTTTTCATCATATAATTCTTAACACCTAATATGGCATAGGATAGTTGGCACAGAATAGGGATGCAGTAAGTATTTGTTGAATAAACTGATGAATGAAGTCTGTTCACTAGAAATGTCAGTATTGCGTTGTTTTGTGGGTTTTTTTAAATAACAATGTCTTTCCTTTGATGCCTCTGTTTTGACAGTTGATTCACTGAATTTGAAATACAGCATGATTACATCTCCTTTAAATATAACAATTTATACTTCACGGCCTTCTGAAGAATGGTTTCTGACAATATTAAAATTTTTATAAATTGGGAAAAGATTTCATTTTTTTCAAACATGAAGGTTCATTTATATTACTATAAAACTAATTCTGTACCCATTGAAGGGGTTGATCAATTTCACTTAGCAAAGCAGACATAAAATTCCCTTTCCAAAGCCTTAAGTCTTTCGTAGAATAGCTGTTGTACTTGGTCTGAGAGGTTTTTCTAATGAGGAAAGAGAAAAGAGATAAGTGTATGAATGAGATTCTCTACCTTCACACCATCCCTCTGGAAACCTCCCATTTCCCTGAAAAATTTCCCCTGAAACACTAACCTATCCTTTTTTTTAGTTTTTTTTTAATAATTATTAAATTTTATTAGTTTTAATGAACATTTACAGAGATTTTGGGTTCTCATTCATTCATTTTTGCACTGTTTTCTCTACCCTCCTCCCCAGTTCATTTTTCTTCCCCCCCTCCCGAATGTCTGTTTTAATTGTCCAATTGCCACAGTGCTTGTCAAAGCCAGTTCTGATTAATCTCCTTTGTCAGTGTGTCCTTTGCCATTCCCTATCACTCCTCCCTGAGAGAGACTTCACCCTGAGTCATAAGGAAAAGGGGATGGCGTATTCTCTTAGCTACTTCCTGCTGAAAAGGGACGCTGTGGGTTTCAGGGTGGAGATCTTCTCTCACTACTCTAAAGGGCCCCTTTGGCAGTAGGAAACACATAGACTGTTATGGAGATTGATTTTGGAATTTAGATGCACTGTTATCAATTGTGCTTAGCTGTACATGTTCATATCCTTGAAGATGTATCATGGAGGTGTTGCAACCTAGAAGACACAAATTTAACTAACTAGTTAAAAGTACATGAGTCAAAAATTAACAAGCAATAATATTCCAAGTAGAGGTTCTAGTAGTGGCACAAATCAAGTTACAAAGGGAAGGTGGTTCTTACAGTAAAAGGCCTATAGACTAGCACTTTGTCTATTATAGTGTACAGGTTAGGAACCACAAGATGTAGAGGCTCAGCTATGTCATTTATGCTTCTTAAATCCTGGAGCAAATTCCATCTACCACTGGGCTGCTTTACAACTTGGAAGTTCACATGCAAGGTAGAGGTGAAGTAAGGAACTGCCTATGATTTGATTGTAAAAATATTTCCCAATATGAGCAAATTTAAAACAAAATCCAGAGATCTTAATTAAAATTTGCAACAAGAATTTTTTTGCCATCTTCTGAAAACGAGCTCTTTTTGTGGATTACTGTTCAGACATCTGGTAAGTGATGCTTTTGGTTATCTGAGAACGGCAATTATGAAATGTTATCTCTCCCTCACATACATACACAGACCTCTTCCTAGGATGTGTGACTCAGGATCAGCTGTTCTTAAAATAAAATCTAAGTCCTGGGCACAACACAGCAGATGCCCCTGAAGTCCCACAGCTTGATCAGCACCTCTTGGGATGTTTGGCTTCTGTTCTTCATGTATCAAAACAGTGAAGATAGAAAGTTTAGCTTTCTTTAGCCTTTCAAGGAAGAAAGGAAATAAAAATACTAAGATAAGCTAGAAAACTTACTGCACTGAAGCAATTTTACTGTGTTGAATCACAGGTAGGCATAGTTGTGTGAAGTCAATTTGAAGTTCATTTTTGATTCTTCAGTTATCAGAGATAGGGAGAAAGTAATGGGCTTCAAATATGCCAAAAAATGAGTTGGAAAGATTCATGAGTGGTTTAAATGTTTAAGATGCAATTAATCAAATTAGGTAGTGGGGTAAATTGCCTACTATAATTCACAAGATATTGTTCTATTTAACTTGTACAAACTACTAAAGTCTCGATAAATTAATGAATGACCGTCAACCAGCACCTGCTTTGGCAGACGGTTCTTGGGAGAATTTACTAAGAAACAGTCTTGTTATATTTTTTTTCTATTATAGTCATTTTCCCCCCTTTCTATTTTTGGGTTTTGTTTTGTTTTTTTTTTTTAGGTTAGATGCAAACAAACCAATAAAGTACTTGGAAAACAAGGCAACTTTAAATGAGGCACTAGAACGGTTGAATTGGCCCATCTCGTTGAAAGAGTTGTCATTGCTGGAAAATGAAATCTTAGCTGGGAAACACTACATTCAGCAGGCCATGGAACTCCAGGAGGCTACCAAGAAAGAGAACTATGTGAGCAGGGTGCGGGGTGCATTGGCACCATGGAGGTGGTTACACAATGTTCCATAGTGTGTATATGTCCTGATTGATTTAGCTCGTCACAGAATATAGAATGTTTGATTTAAATCTAGTTTTCTTCTTTTTCACATAATATTTTAATCACTATTACTATTATTTTAAGTATTTGATAGTATTTTAGTGCTGCTATAACAGAAATACCACAAGTGGATGGCTTTAACAAACGGAAATGTATTCTTTTGCAGTTTAGCGAGCCATAAATAAAAAATTCAAAGGTACCAACCAGATAAAGGGGAAGACTTTATCACCCCATCAGGTCTGGAGGAAGGTCTGTGTTTCCTCTAGCAATGGTGGAGGCAGCATTACTTGACGACCACCATGTGCCTTGTTGTTGTTGTTGTTATGTGACATCGAGTCACTTGCGACTCATAGCGACCCTATGTACAACACCCCTAAACTCTGCTCTGTCCTGGGCCAATTCCACCGTCTCTGACACACCCATCCTGATTATCCCAGTCACTGAATCAATCCACCTCATAGGAGGCCTTCCCCTTCTGCGCTGTCCCTCCACCCTACCAAACATGATGTCCCTCTCCAAGGACCTGTCCCTCCTTGCAACATGTCCAAAGTATGTTAGATGGAGCCTTAGAATTCTTGCCTTCAAGGAGCAGCCCGGTTTGACCCTTTCCAGGATGAATCTGTTTTCCTAGCAGTCCATGGTACCCTCAATACTCTTCTCCAACACCACAGCTCAAAGGCATCAATTCTCCTTCTATCCTCCCTAGTCATTCTCCAACTCTATGATGCATAACAAGTGATGGCAAAGACTATGGCCTGTATCAAAAGCACCTAGTCTCCAAAGAGACACCATTGCTCTTCAGTACTTTGGAGAGGTCCCTAACAGCACACTTTCCCATGGCAATACGTCTTCTAATTTCCTGGCTGCTGGTGCCGAGAGTGTTGACTGTGGAGCCAAGCAAACTGAAGCGGTGAACAATCTCAATCTCTTCACCATCCATCCTGATGCTGCCAATTGACCCTGTGGTGAGAATCTTTGTCTTCTTGACATTGAGCCTAAATCCGTATTGGAGGCTTCAGGTCCTCCTCAGTTTCAGCAAGCCATGTGCTTTAGCCTTTTCTAATGTCAGGTAGCTTCCTAGTGCAGGGACCGGGTCTACAAAGATACACACCATTTTGAGGACAGCACAGGAAAGGCAGGGTCCAGATCTCTTTCTTATAGGATCACTATGGGTCATACTCAACTTGGCAACACCTAACAACAAGAACATATATTGAGAGAGCGAGGCCCCCAGATGGGAGAACGCTGCGCCAAACGGGAGAACGCCACCGCCAGATGGGGTTCCACCGCGAGAGGGACCTGGAAGAGACCCGGGAAGAACAACAGCCAGCCACCTACCACGGAACTCCAGAGGAGTGAAGACTGTGAGACCCCAGA